GCATGGATATCGGTAGCCCAAATTATTGCAGGCCGACCATAGATATCAGATGTGCATCGTTGCGGGCTCGAACCCCGGACCATGTGCATGGTCGGCGAGAGTCCTAACCACTGTGCCACCGACGCTTAAGCTATTATATGTAATAAGACTCTTATTTTAGTAATGTTGATCTTAAGTGAGTAGTAATAGGCATAACTATGCATCAAGTCAAGTAAAGCCACATAAAATATCTGTTAGAACACCATATTCCTCAACTTACTATGTCATTTGTAATCATTTTAGAGGGGAAATAAATTTATGTAAAGCACCTTATGAATAAGCTTTCTAAAGGAGGTTGAGCTGAATGGTTCAACTATTTCTTTTTGAATATATACATCACTTCATGCTAAATATTTGTTGACCTTTATTCAGTTAATTTATTCTTCCTATATTTATTTTAATATAAATCTATTACAGGTTTTTTCTTCAGTCTTTGCTAGTTAAATCTCCGTCGTGTTTTGAAAGATTACTAATGATGCTTTTACTTACCTGTATGTTGTTAACATTTAAGAGGTATACTGAAATGCCATATTAATTGTGTGTTGACCTTATTTATCTATGAAATATTTCCCTTTGAAAAGGTAAAATCCATCAAACAGCTTGTGATATGACCGACAGTAGTATAAACCTTTTATTTATTTATTTGTTTTACTTATAAAATGTCTATTATGTGACCTCATTTTGATAGCATTATCTAATAATTTGTTTGAACTGCATAAGTCTTCAAATGCGTGCAGAAAAGTGGCTTTGCAAATCAGAGTGAATTAAATGTAATATAAGATTGTATGTGTAGAGCTTATGCATATATATATATATATATATATATAGTACAAACATGAATTCGTATATCTCGAAGACAGTAACTTGAAACTCTTATTAAGGCGTATAAAAAGTTTTGAAACTCAAATCATATTATTTTCTTTAAATTTGCATAGAAAAATGCGCAAATATATCCATGCATACAAGTTTATATATATATATATATATATATATATATAAATAATATGTGTTTGAGTCGATTTTGTTTCTCAGGAGTTAATTTGAAGGGTTCTAGTTGGTTTCAGGTTTCATCATGGATTGACATTAGTTAAAGAACTACTGAAAATCAAGGATTAATAAAGAGATATTTCATCCTAATTTGGAACGGTTGAGAAGTGCTCACCTACCAGGGTTCGAACTCAGGACCTTCAGGTTACAAAGCTAAGCTTGTTGAACATTTAGCCACCTGAACTGGAATCCAGTGGTCTATGAATTTTAACTTCTGTGAATTCACGATTTTTGCCTAACCATCGGCCAATGTCATTGGCGACTATTTGTCCTCACACACAAATCGGCGAGCCTCCAGGCAACTTCGTTCGCTGATTGATTAGAAAGAAATTTCAAGCTTCTGTCAATATATCAATATATGGACACTTCAACAATGTCTCAGAATTTCCACTGTGTTATTTAGTGGATGGTGGCTGGCAGTAGAATTGAAATGGCTTAGTGGATAATGCTTTCGCATTTGAAGCGATAAGTTTTGGGTTTCGGTCTCACCACTCCCTGGAAACTGCAGGTGAATTCAGATGATGGGTCCCGAATAGGACGATTTTCACTCCTAGATAATATTATAGGATAAATCTGAATAGCAACAAGAGCAGTAACCAATTACTGTTTTATTAAATTTCCTTTCAAAATTTGCAAACATACTGTTTGTTACCGACTAGAAACGTAGTTAATTATCAATCGCACATAAATTAGTTTAATTATCCTCTTATTTTCTGTGAATGCTTTAGTTAGCGTAGGAGTACAATTTGGACATTGTGATAAAACAATAATTCTACAGTAGATTAGTGTGTTTTTGCTGAAAACAACGTACAGTTATTTAATACTGCATTACTGTATCACTCTTATATCAAATAAATATTATCTAATATAGAATGCTTTAGTCAAGTTTCTAGAGCACATGACGCCAGATTTATCATTACCTTACAATCCAATAGTTAGAAAACTGACTTTGATTAGGGTTTTCGACAAGTGAAGTGAAAGTTACTCATAATGTATCTGTATGTGCTGTCAGAAAAAAACACACACAAGCCAACGGAAGTGTAAAAGAAAAATCATGGCAATAATTCAACTAACTACATAGATGAATGATAGACATACGTCGTCATTCACAGCATGACTGCATATCTATCCTTATTTATACACGTAATACCTGCAAGTAAAATTAGAAATGAAAATCAGTAAACGTTTTTTTTGTGGAAAAAAGTGATTGAAAAGGAAGTGAAGCAACTAAATACTGTTTCTATAAATAAATTTTTCATCCTGTTGCTACTTGTAGATAGGTTGATGGGTAATAGGAGGACAATTCAGATGTGAGTTGCAAACAATCCACATATCCTCATTCTCATATTTTGATCAAGTTTCTCAATAAAAGCATATCAGTATTCTGGCTATGTCATCTAAGCCTATGATAAAAATAAATAATTTTTCCTTCACGTTCCCCTGTGGAACATAGGGCTTCAAGCTAGTGGCTTGAAGTTTCTGTAGCAGAGTTTATTTTGCAGGATGAGGTTGCTAGCCTCATGCCCAACCTTTCCTCTTTACCAGGATTATTTCTGGCTTAGCGAGGTAAAGGAGTGCGCCGGCCGGGAATCGACCCCGGACCATGTGCATGGTCGGTGAGCGTGCTAACCGCTATTCCACCGACGCTGATTGATAGGAGTAATCGTATGCTGACTACTGTGGCAATCGAATGCTGTCAGAGAATGGAATCGTGTTGGCTGCCGTTATAATATTACAAGCTGGTTTTAAGTCTATCAGCTGAGTTACCTGCATCTGAAGTCTAAATGGTTCAGTAGGCCTACCACCAGTTGATGCTGTTATTTTTGTTCATAAGATTGAGAAGTTCACGTAGTGACTCAGCATTGATAACACTTAATCAATTTTCTCTTGAAATCTTTCCTCACTACACTTAACTTTTTCTCATTTATCTTTGGCATTTTTTCTAGTGTAGCTTTCATTCGATTTAATTTTGTTTGTGGTAATCAGTTTTCTTCGAAGTCATTTTTCTTCTCTACAATAGTTATATTCTTCGACACTTAGTTGACTGTACTCAGAGCTAAGGATTTGGAGCACATTCTGCATGTTTGCAGAATAACTGATAATTATATTTCATATTTAAATTATGGGTTTTGTAAAGATTCGGCCTAATTTCAGTGGGGATTACTTACACCAGACAACATCAGATAGATATCACCAAAGACTAGGGAAAACTAGACAGCTGTTTCGTCCTAATCTGAAACTCTTCATCGGTGCCCATACATAACCCCGAAAGTTAATCCAGATCACTACGGAAAGTACCATCTAAATATCAATTCCAAGCCCATAGTTACCTACTAGATGGTTTTTATGAATCATATAGTGAAAATTACTCACCAGAGAGGCTTATCGAAGGTACTGATTGAGGGTAGTGTTATACCATGAAATGACAAAGCTGAAATTTAGGGATCATTAAACTCCGGACAAAGTTGCTGAATGGTCAACGAGACTGGTCTTGTAACTTTAAAGTCCTCGTTTCGATCTTGAGTGGGAAGCGTGGGCGTGCACTGTTGAAGAGTCCCAAAATGGGATGAAACAGCTGTCGAGTGTTCCCCGGTTTTCAATGATCTCTTTAACTGATGCTGGTTCGTGAATGAAATCTCTACTGAAATTATATTTGAAATACATTGCCTAATATCTTTTCAAAGTAAGTTTTCACACAGTTATTCCCTTGTAAACCTATTCCATTAGATCTCTACTTCTTAATAACCAAAAATGAACATTCTATGAATGAATTCTTGCACAGATAAAATCAGTTACGTGAAAATTTTCCCGCACTTTACAAATATTATTTTTCTCATGAAACTATGGTTACAATAATGCTTAATTTAAAATATTCTCATCAGGTTTATCGATACGACAATATGTTTTTTGTTGTTGTAATTTACAGTTTCCGTTTATATTTTAAATAGCTTATACCTTTATTTTCTGTTAATTTGCACATTTCATGCTTTAAGTGATTATATATTAGACAAGCTCATACAATTTATAAAATTTCTCATTGTATTATTCAAGATAAATTTTCAGTTGGCTTTCACTAGCATATTTCCACATGGAACATCTGTGAGGATACACAGTTCAAAGTAGATACATGTACAGGCTGGCATTTAATGGAGCTGAAGAGTTTTAAGACGATACATCACAAAAATATTAACAGAAGTGAATGAAAAGGAACAGCCTCTTCTCGGAGAATTCATTCATACAACTGTACATTAGCATTTATATCCAACATTTCCCTCTAGTATATGAAATGTATTGTTTGAAGTTGTTCGTCTACCATCGCGGCAGAAAGATAAGAATGACTGAAAAGACTTAAGACTCAGATTTCTGATTGTTGCATAGTTGCGTTCTATTGGCTGGTTAGTTTAATTGAGAAGCACTCTATTTCTCCCTAAATAACACCTTCACAGCTTATTCCCTTTAAAGATCTTCACAATTTATTTGAGGCAGTTCGGTGGATGGCGACTAGCAGTAAACTCCGGGATAAACACTTTCCACTGCATTTCTCAGTGGGTGATGGTGTTCCCCTGAGACTTAAACCCAGTTTCAATCGTTTAAAATGTCACTGGACCACTTTGGCAGCGAAAGTCACTCCTTGTACAGCTGGATGAAATATGCTTCCTGGATCCGTTGCTAGCCGCATTCCAGCAAAATACTTCAAATTAATCCTCAGATATCGTCGAGGGGTCAGTATGAGGAGCCAACATGTTGACAGAAACTGAACATTTCTTTCCAGTCAGCCAACGGAAAAATCTAAATCGACCTAAACATAGTTCCACGACTTATTGTTATTTCATAACATTGCTCCTATAATATACTCAAATAAAACATGTAATCCACTTTATGCAATTAATTTTATCCTTTTAATTATGTTTCAGACGTTAACCCATTTACGTTTTGTGTCACATATAGTTGTTGGCATTTTAATCGGTCTTTTGTATTTTCGTATTGGAAATTTGGGTTATGAAGTTATTAGTAATGCAGCATTTGTCTTCTTCACACTATTATTTCTTATGTTTGCTGCTTTAATGCCAACGGTGATGACATGTAAGTTATTTTATATAGTTAAATTATTATTTTTGCTTTTCATTATACTTTGAAGGAATAATTATGGTTAATTCTGTCTGATTTAATTCCACTGTAAGATTTCTACTCTCTTTCTCTATGTTGCTTCCTGTCTGGCTGATATTCAATAGCACTGTGGTGTAGATGTTTACTGGTAAACGACTGAGACCCCGTATAGTTGTACTTAACACATCCATCTTCAAGAAGTGAGGGGGTCTGTAATATGCTCACTTCGGACCGATCCTGATATGTAGCATTCAACAACATCGTCTGTCACATTGCCTGCTTATATGTAGCTTTGATTCAGTGTTTTCATGGATTGCTCTGTATCTCCAGTGTTGTATTTCTTCAGATTGTCCTTACATCATATCGTTTTTGTGCGACTGAAATGTATCTAGTAGTATGTTCTTAAGTGATATCCATTGTTGTCCCCTCTCCTAATGCTTTGAGTGGGACCATCTGATTGTAAATAATCTTGGAGCGATAACATACTCGTGGTCGTGTATCCATAACAGTACTCCTGAAATCACTCAGCAGTGAACTGAAGGCCATTAGATATATATAAACACCTCTTGAAGTTCTGACTTTTCAATCTTTCTAGGGAGAAATAAAGTCAGTTATGCTGCACAACTTGTGAATAACTTTGAAGCGCATTTAGGGAGGTAGACAGTAAAAAGAAGAACTTTTAGATTGTAGAAATATTGACCACACGTCTGTCTTTTCAAAAAAGAGTTTAGGCTTGTTGTGGCAACTTTCAAACGCTGTCATTAAGTTCGAGTGGTGAATACATACTTGTTTTGATGAATTTCACTTTTCCATGTAGCTGACTTTAAAAGAGTATTCCGATGAGCTAACAATATACTTCAGCGTCTATTCAGTGGCAAGTTTACAACATATCAGAAATTAGTCAAAATAGTTTTCCGTGATTCATTTGAATAGAATGATGCGTTACTTATATCCTAGGAGCATTCAAATTTAGAAAGGCAAACGAAGACGGCTAATAGTGGTAGTTTTTCTTGTTTCATACGCCCACCAATCGATTGTTAATCAAAGACTGAAACTTTACTCGCAATGATATACATGGTACATTTTGGTATGGTTGCGTTCTCCGAATTGGATGGCTTAGGTTCGAAGCTTGCACTGTATGCGCTGAAGATGTTGACTAGTAAGATAGTTAAAGCTTTGCGTTTAAAATATACAGTTCAGAGGACAAAACTGGGTCAAAATCATCCACCTTGGCTAAAAATCTCCTACATTATATATACACAGCAGATGTTCAGGTATTTACTTTCGGATGAATTCCTTTAGAGCTGTGTCTGTTCTCTCTTCGCTTTCATAGGCTTCATAGAGCCTAAAGTACTCTAGAAAGTGCTCATCAAATTTAGCTGTCATTTAGGCTTTACTGAGCTGATGTTTTAATAGCGCAAATGTAGGAAAATCTTGCTAGTTTATTGAAAGACGAAGCAAAACCAGCACACTGTGTTCAATGGAATATATGAAGGCTGATTACTCCTTTCTCACAAAGAGAATAATCACAGCGCAATTAAAACAAAGGAATGTTTCCTTTAATCAGAAATCGTATCTAAAGTGAATTTTTAATTTTTGTCGAAGTTTGATTCACTCTAAGGTGGATCAGCACCTTAAAAGTCCTTGGAGAACGTCCTAGTTTAGCCGTATCTAAAAGTTCTCAGCCGCGAACGCATGTTCTCTTTCAAGTCGAATTTCATTGCCTAGGATTAGAGAATATGTTGAGCAGAGTAATGCAGATAATATATTGTATTCATGAAGTAAAGGTTTATGTATTTTGGGAGAATAAACTACGGGAAACCGCTCATACTCTCAATTTCCCATTGAAATACAAGAATTTTCTTTGGGTACCGAAAATATTCTAACCATACTATATGATCTGCTTGATACCATAAAGGGTAATCATGAAAACAAGCATAATTGCATAAAATGAATAATTAATTATGAAAACTTTCATTTATGAAAAGGCTAATGGCAACTAGTTCATCAAGAATAGCTTTTGTAGACATTCGTTTATAAATCCTCAGAACTGTATCTTTAAAGCTTTTTAGTTTACTGGTGTCTCCCTTTTTTTTCAATGATTCATGCCACAGTATATCAAAATTTCTGGCAACATTAATTTATGCTACGCAGTGAAATAAATATTTCATAGCATTGTAGTTTTAGTTACCATTTGTATTTTATTGTTCGACAAAGACAAATTATCACAAATTAGGTTGCTTCGTTAGGAGATTTAACCAGAGAATATGACTGTTAAGCATTGCCGTAAAAATGATAAAACAATTTTGCCCTTAAATGATGCCCATATGGGTTTCCAGTGTTTCTAATCCTTATTTATGACTCTTGAACTATTCACGCTGGTCAGTTGCATATTATAGTAAGGATTCTCATGGTGAAATTTATAACAACACAAGTTGTCCTAAATATTGTTTATAAGCACATAAGTTACGCCTTTATTTCCAAGCCGAAAAGATAACACACCTCCTTATATTTTAGCTTTTTAAGCAGGACTGTAGTCACTATAGAACATTATAATTAGCCATCAAAGTGAATTCCTTGCTAATTTAATTCAACCAAACATTATTTTTTCGTTTCTTTTTCAGTTCCTCTTGAAATATCTATATTCTTCCGTGAACATTTAAACTCGTGGTATAGTTTAAAAGCTTATTATTTAGCAAAATCATTTGCTGATGTACCATTCCAGGTAAGTTTTAAATCTCTTACTTTATCAATTTTATTATCCATTATTTTTATTACTTTCTTTATCGATAGACGTTACATAATTCCATCTAGTTCATAAATTATCAGTACACGTTTTCTTGAATTGTGACTGTAACCAAGAAATCTACTGTCTTCGTTGAATCGTTCTGTGTATCAAATACTGACAACATTATTAATCTTATGATACACGCAAACGATTTTTGTTGATTATATACTATGCTTTGAAGCGCGATAATTGTCATTACTCTTTCTGTTCACTGATTTTAACAACTAATTGACTCTGAATCGTCAGATTATACACATACACAAGCATATCATGCAGTATTGCATCCAAATCTTGATTTTATCAGGAATGTTAAGTTTCTTTCGTGATATTCCCAGAATTCATCGAAGTGGCTATTTAAATTATGCCATATTATTTATTTTATTAAAGATATACTATATATAGGACATAAACATAAAATACTGTTTTGTATCAGCTGTAAGCATATAAGTCGTTGAGAAAGAGGTTTAATTATCAATATGCATTATGCAATAGTAGGCCGTATCGACCCTTTCTACATATCAGATATGCGGTGGACCAAATCAAACAGAAAATGTCAGTGATAGTTGTGCCCCATTAGAAATTTCGGATGTAGAATTCGCTAGTTAAAAATCTGTCAGATAAGGCATAAAAATACCTATTTATGAAATAATAATAATTTAATTACAGAGATATTTTAGTAAAACGGTGTCGTACATTACCAGTGAACGACTACATGAATTAGAATTCTTCCCAGCAGCTCTAATTGAATTGATTTTTAGTCGTCAGTATAACGGAGTCAGTCACTCATACCGGACTCTACAGGGCTGCTGTTTTATTGGAAGGCTCATATATTTTCATTCTAACAAAAAATTAAAATTATATCCGTAGGAAACTGTAAATTCCAAGTGGCTATACATTTATTTTCAACCAAGAACGTGGAAAATGTGGTAGTACACGGAGATATTATTTGTAATTTTGAATGTTATTCAAAAATATATATTTGCTTCGTTCACAAACTGATTTAATGTTATACATGTAAATAAAATTACGAAATATCATAAAGATTATGTTATTTGGTGAATCATCCTATTTGGGACCCATATGATGTACAACCACTTTCATTGGCTGATGGTGTTTCCTCATGTACTTTAACCCTACACTCATCATTTCAAACACGAAAGCGTTATCCTCTAGACAACTTGAGCCATAAGTCTTAGTGAGAGCGCCATCACTCACTAAGGATTGCAAGCGCAACCAGAAGACGAATTCCAAATAGGACGGAATACTCATCTTGGATACCACTGCTAGTCATCGCCCACCCAACAACATCCTGCCAGTCATCGGACATCATTTGAACGTCTGTATGCAGAGACAACAATCTCGATGGAGACTGAACATTTTAGTCGAATATAACCAATCAACAGTGAATACAAAATTGCCTTTAAAAACAGCTCATAAATATTTCTTGACTAATGCGGTAACCAATATTTAATAAAATGTTTCCTTCTCTTATCCAAGTGGTTTGAAAATATTTTTTTTCTTTAAAACAAATTTTGTTTCAGATGAAGGGGAACGTGTGAATAAGATTCTTATGCTCTCACCAAATAACCCTAATGTGAATCCCTAAAAAATATTAAAGCTTTCTCCTTCATAAGTATACAGATAAATAAAAAAAAATTTGATGTACTTGAAATTCACATTTTTCTATTTGTTTTATTTGAAAAAAGACATTTTTCTGATATTTTCTGGTATCTTATCTGCTTTTATCTAGTCACTACTATATATCGATTTATTTAGAAACATTGATTTCTGATAAACAGTTTTAGTATAGACAGTATACAATTGTCCATTGTGTCTGACATTCTATTTCCTCCTATACAGTTGTACATACGACAGATGAAAATCACTTGCTAGTTTTCAGTATTTATTCCAACTCCCTCTTTCTACTGAAATGTTAGTAGTCAGTAGTGTCGTAAAGTAAATACATATGTGACCAGTAGGGTGCAGCAGGTTGGGTGTGGGGACAAATACTCACCGAAGACATTGGCTAGGGGTTGCGCTATGTCGTGAACTGGCAGAAGTTAGAATTCGTGGACTGTTGGATCGGGTCTCAGGGCCTTAATGGTATACGAGCTCGTCTTGTAACCACGAGGTCCTGGATTCGAACCCCGGTGGGTGTGTACTGCTGAAGAGTCCCAAACTAGGACGAAACAGCTGTCCAGTACTCCTAGCTGGTTTTCCAATGGTTCTCTAACCAGTGTCAACTCATAATGAAATCCTGTAACCAAATACAGACTTAGTCTACATAAGAGGATATCTTAGCCCAGTTAGTACAGCACTGAGTTGACATCCTTCATTGACTCGGGTTTCCATACAACTTTCACTTATCGCTTATTACATTAATATTCAGTACATTAATCCGACGTCTTCCCGATTGGAATCAATAATATATATATATACGATATACCTATAAGCTTAAACTTTGTTGTGTAGAAGGCGATGAACATAAAAGTCCTTTAACCTTTCGTGCATCCTTAAAAATGTGTGTATATATGGAATGCTCACCGTGTAGTTGTACCACTTTTCAATGTGTTTTTTTGTTGTCGCAATCTTTCTTTTGTAGATATTTTTTCCTATTGTTTATGCAAGTATCACTTATTGGATGACTGAACAGCCAAATGATGCCATAAGATTTTTTCAATTTCTTATCATCTCTGTTCAAACATCATTAGTTGGTCAGTCATTAGGTCTTGTAATTGGTACAGCTACTTCATTACAGGTTAGTTGACTTTCTAATTCAACAAATATTCATCATGTATTTACTATTTGAATTTTTATTCTATATCTAAAACTTTTAAAAGCTTAATGTTTCCATATTCTATTTGTGTTCTGAGTGGAACCCGGGGGGGCTTCAGCAACAGATCTCCATTTCATTCTGTTCTCTGCGAACTATTTTAGCCAGCCCCACGGTTGCTCATAAGCTTTCAACTCTTTCTCTTGGATGCCCGACACACCATTTCTCATTCGGCTTCTACTAGAGAGTTCGCGTATCATCCGATATCACTCAACGGTCTCTTCAGTGAACAATCAATCCATCTGTGTTTCCTTCTGTATTGACCGATGGGCACTTGTTCGGTTCATTGCCTGCTAGAGTTTCTTGTCGATTATTCTTTCTATTCGGCCGTCTGATCTTCAACACCGAGCCATGGAAGGCAGCTGCTGATGAGAGATGTATTCATATTTTAGAGGCTGACGGTATTGACGTTCGCGAACTGTATGGAATATACTAAAGCAAGATCTTATACCGACAACTTCTATAGCATTCGTTTCTCGTGGACCAAAGGCAAAGCAAAAGACACGATTGATTGTCAAAATTACGAGATATATTTCGGAACCAAATCGTGGACTGAAGCGGAAGCTAAGCTGGCTAGTGATCGTACACGAAATTGACACGACGGAATACCAAATGGCGTGGATGCTTGACCAGAAGTCTTCAGCTAAACAAGTCGACTGAAACTCTAAGGGTCAGCATCCAATGTTCGGTGATGATTGCTATGGTCAATGATTTCGGGGAATTATTTACCGTTACAGCTCACTCCCCCCCTAATGGGGTTGTGAGAACCCTAAAATAGAACCAGCCGGAAGTAAAAAACCTCGATGGTTGACTTCTGAGTGAAAAAAAATCCTCCGAGCGGCTTGATGGCGTGTCTACTGGTTTGTCTGCCTATGCTAATAGGGTGCTTGTACATCGCTTCCTTGATGTTGTTCGTTGGATCTCGTGCTTCCTTTGTTTGTTGTCCAGTGCCCGTCGCACCTGGAAAAGAAAACAAGAATGCTAAGAACCTTGTTAAGGAAAGTGTACCAAATCAGCGTTTTAAAAAAATGATGTGCATCTACCATACAGTAAAATAATGCACAGTTTAGGACATCAAAAAAGTATACATCTATTTTTTTTATATAAAATATATATAATTTATTATTTTAATAAAACTAGTATTAAAACTGTATAAGAATGATTTGAATTCCTACTAGATAGGTTGTCGAATTTATTTTGAAAAACTTTTTTATTTACCCTTCACTAATTTAAGGTGTCAATGTTAATACTGGAACAATATGATTACAGTTCACTTGAGAAAATCGAAAAAATGAATTTGTCTTTTAAAAGAAATAGAAATAGGAATAACAAACTTCACTATACAACTAAACTAATATTCATCGATTGATAATAATGGGAAAGGATACAAATATTATTTTCGAGATGCCTAATTTTTCTAATCAAACACAAAAGCCTATAATGAAGAGGATGAAGGCAGAAAAATAAAAGAATAAGAAACAATTTTAGAAAATAAACATGGAGTTATAGAAGTTTGAGTAGCATTCAAATTTGGCCAAAACAAGAACCTGATATAAAGATGAATAAATCAGATAAGATAAAGATGGCATGATAACTAATGGGATTACATAGAAAACACGAAAAAAAGAGATATACTAAAATATTAAAGTAATTGAAATATAAATCATGTTTAAGAATGACACGCAAGATGATAAATAAGATGAGGAGGTGGTGGTGGTGGGGGACAAGATGGAACAGTTAGATAGAACTGTAGCAAAACGAATCACGTGGTGTTCATTCAAAGACAAGTTAGGTTTTAATCAACAGATTGCAGCTGTTTCTATGTGATGTAGCAATCTGTCAGTTACTTTTTCTAGTAATTATTATGAAATTTAAGCAAAATGAGAACGAATATATATATATATATATATATATGTATTGCATGGAGGATTTAATCAGCTCATGATTAAAACCTCCATGCAATCAAACAAAATCCCTACAAAACCAATACTTGAATATATATATATTCTTAAGCTAAGAGCCGCTCACTCTGTTTTCATTTCACGGCCCTTCTTCATCTGCTAAAAGTCTAAAATTCACGCCAACTGTTATAAATTGAAACATATAACATGCTTCAAATTCCCTTTGAATTAAACAATGTTATTTACTCACAATTATAATAATTGACGTCATTTTTAAACTGTTAGCAGGCGAAGAAGAGTCAAAAAGTAAAACAAGTAAGCTAATTTTCTCCTGCAAATATACATTCATTCTTGGTTTGATTTTGGCTTATGGTGGCTAACAGTGGAGTCCAGGATGGGTATTTTGTCCTGTTCGAGATACGGCATCTGGATTTACCTGCATTCCTAGTGTTTGGTGGTTATCCCGCTGAGATACGAACTCTGTACCCATGGTTTTGAATGCGAAAGCCTTATTCACAATGATACGAGGACCATGTGGACCACAAGGACGAAATGCGTTATTTTGATCACATTGCTAATCGTCATGAGTCAAAACAGCTCATCCTTAATCCTTAGGCAACGTCAAAGCACCGTTCGAAGAGCCGGTATGCCAACAGAGACCGAAAAGTCCCCTCCAACATAGTCAACTAAAGAAAAATACAGATTAACCTAAAAATAAGTCGTTTATTGTTCAGACTAACTAAGGGATTTGTTTATGTAAAATTATCTGAAAGCCTGGGGTCATCTTCCGCAAATCAAGAAAAACAGTATTTCGGGCTTATAATATCCTCACTTTATTTCTATTTTATTTTTTTATTTTTGATTTACAGCTTGATTTCATACTGTATTTTCGGTACAAGTATGGAATTTTCAGCATGGATATCGGTAGCCCAAATTTTGCAGGCCGACCATAGATATCAGGTGTGCGTCGGTGCGGGCTCGAACCCCGGACTTCTCTCTTTGACTAGAAATGGCCAAGTATACACAGAATTAATGGGACTGTTCTGTAATACTAAGCAAAGATATTGAAGCTTAAAAAATCACCGGTAACTCATGAACGATACTGCTAATTGTTCATATATAATTATTTGTTTAGAAGAAGAGTATTTGGGAAAATATTAGTCTAACAGCCTACAACATGAGATTGTTTATTCACCAGTTGTTTAAAGAAAGAAATGCATTTATTAGTATGCAAGAAATACTTGATATCAAATAAGCAGCATAATATCTCTGGGTCTTCGGTTGAAAAGTAAGACTGTGAACAAAATACGAAGGTATGTGCTTAGTTCTATAATTAACCCTAGGCTAAAGTGGGGTTAAACACAATATTCTTCCCTGTAGAAAAACTGGGTTACAGCCTTCTGTTAGCGGTTGAATAAAAATCTGGGTTACTACAAGTTTCGAATCAGTGGCTCTACTAGCTAGGCGTTAGGACATACTGATAGTCAGGTCATTCTTTCAATGTAGCCACCATAGGTGATACTTAGATGCTGTGTGAATGAACAATACGTTACCGTTTATTTGTCATCACACTAGCTGGCCTAACTAGGTCTTCTCTTAGTCCTAATGGTACTGAATTAGAAACAAAGAAGCAGATTATCTCGTCAACAAGCAGCTGATTCATCAAGACAGAATAAAGCTGGATGTATTTTATCTATATATGGTGATCAAGATAGCTGATATATTCACTTTGGGTCTAGCTGTTGTACCGGTAGACATTTAGGGAACTTTAGGTGTCAAATTATCGAGAGCACTTTCAGGGTTTTGAGTAGATAACTCTCCATCTTTTTTATTCTAATGAGCTTGATATGAAATTTTCCACAAGAATATGTGGATTGATTAATCCCTGTGATTTCTGTAATCAGCCAGACTGATTTAGGTCAGAAGAACAATGTAAATTACTCGCCTTCAGTAATTATATCATCACACAGTTATGCTTTGATAAGGATATATCAAGTACATAACAAAACAGGTTTGACCACGAACTGATATCAATTAGAGAATCACTGGGAAACCAAGGAGTTCTAGAGGGTTATTTCGTCCTATTTCAGAACTCTTCATCAGTAAGCACCTGCTATGGTTCCAACTCAGGAAATTCTGGCTACAAGGTGAGCTCATAGACCATTCAGCCCCTGGGAGCTAATTCATTGGTCTATGAATTACAACCTTTGCCAGTTCATGATGTCTACCTGTTACCAATCAAATGGCTGCGAACCAATACTTGCCAACAAAATATATCAGTTTATAATTAAAACATAATTGTATGCAAGTGTTGGAATGCATGAAATCGATCGAATTCGAATTTGATAACGAAGTGACTTTAGTTAGAGAATCAGTGAGTAGTTCTCAGAAGACTCTGCGTTCGATCCTTAGTGAGGTAGTGTGCTGCTGGGCAATCCACAACTAGGAAGAAGCAACACTCCAGAGCTTCTGTAACTTAACTCACTTAGTTCATGATCAATTGATTTTTAAAAATTTGATTTCTGGTCAAGAACTCATTTTCTTTTGAGTGTAAATAAAAGCATCAATCAAAATCCGCTAGTAAAAAAATTAAAATTAAAAAACACAAGATAATTAAATTAATCCTATTTCCATTATATCCTGAAATTAGAAATTGAATTGTCATCCAAAATGTTTACATATTCTCGTTTGTTGTTGTTTATGTTATCGCAGAGTTTTTTCTCTCATTGATTTTCTTAAAAATAAGAAAAATCTGATCAGATTAAGCTTTTGCAATAATTATGATTTCAATCATCCAATGATTGAATGTATTGTAGAGAAATAATCATTTAAGTATCAAGTTTCTTCAACCGATAGCAACATAAGTGGTAATTGATTCTATTGTGAACTCTTCTGAAATTACGATCTGTGGTATAATCAGATAATCTGACAGGCTCTAAACTTTCATCAGATGATAACTATACTTGAAATTTAGAATTTAATACAAGCAACAAAAAAGTGGAGTAGGGAAACAAATGGAAGTCGATATTTATATCCTCCTAATGTGCTTGGTCACACTTGCGAAAAAAATTAAATCCCTAGCTACAGGGCGGAGTTTTCTGGATTTCTAGTGAGAAGTCTGGATTAGTGGTGTACATCCTGTCAGGAGTGAGGACAAGTGCTCACCAATGACACTAGCTGTTTACCGCGCTAAAATCCCGAGATGATAGAAGGTAGAAATCATGGGACATTGAGTCGGATCCCAGCGGCTAGATGGTATACGAGCTTGCCTTGCAACCGGTGCGTGCTGTCGATTAGTCCTAAATTAGGACGAAACAGCTGCCCAGTACTCCCTGGTTTCCGATACTCCTCTAACTGATATCAATCCACAGTCAACTTTGACAAACAAATCAAATTCCTAAAAATCAATTTTTGGAAACAGAAAGAACCTAATATCCACTAAATATGCAGAAACAAGTGAACGTGGTTTGGAAATACCCTGAGGCGTCTTTCAAGTTACATGACATGCCAGATAGACTCTCGAAGGGGTCCCAAATGGGAAGCGATGGCTTTGGTAATACATAGTAAAGTAGAAAAAAACACTTGGAGATGAAGTGAAAACTTGTAGGCAGTCACGGTCCTCGACTGTCACTGAAGTGCTATGTTCCACTGTAAACTCATAAAAGAAGAAATAAATAATATTTAAAGACTTTTCATTAGTCTGACAAACAATCAATTAGCATCTAATATCTTCGATAATCTTTCACCACTCAGTATTTGTTGGTGTACAATAAATTCCTACAATTTTGTTTGAAAATAATTGCTTATGTCTAGTATTGCTCATACTGTTGAAATACACCATACATTATCATTGTATGAATCTGCTGACTTAATCATTAGGGTCAGGAGAACCTACTGAGGAGATTACAAACACTGATTACTGCTAACTGTGTGAATATTCAGCTACCATAGTAGAACAGGAGGCATTCCATCCATTTTATCACTGTAATTTGTATATATACCTGAAATTAAAGAATAGCCTCCGCATATACTTTGTACTGTTATTATTTCACTGTTCAACTTCATACATGAAGTCTTCAATTTTACAATTTCTTTTTACTTTTAAAAGGGTTTATAGTAATTAAATAAAGATATCATAAAACATTACTTGCGTTTACAGAGACAAGACAATTGTTCAGACAGTGTAAACATGAAAATTTCCATTTTGCAGCCATAATTAAGATTTTCATATAAGATTAGATTACGGACACTGTAGCCACATATCTCGGAGATCTACAGGCAAAACGGAACAGGATGACAGAAGAGACAGAGAAGACAGTGGTGATGAAGTTACTTAATAAACGGGCGGAATCTAAAGGAGTTCACCACTTTCAATTATCTAGGAAGCATTCGTTTCAACTACGAAGGAAGCAGGTCATCATTTGAAAAGCAGGATCAAAAGAGCAAGACAGTCCTTCAACACTCTGTAATCTGTGTGGAAATTTATTGTACTCAACATGAGAAACAATATACGGATCTGAACAAAGCAAGAACAATATTATGCGTTAAACAAAACGGTACTACCATTTATTTCGTTGGCTTCTTGTCAGCTGCTTACAGTCTAAAGATATAATTAAGTTTACTTACAGAAACATTACTAACAAACTTGCAATTTTCACATGATATTAGTTGACAGAGAGTTCAGTATTAAACAGAAATATCAGTGTGTGCGTATGATCTTAAAGAAGTTAATGAAGATAAGGGATCAAAGCCAAAGATTACGTAATGAAATGAAGGGGAGAATAAAGAAATCCAGTTACCAGAGCAAGGATAGACTGATAATTGCTTCTTTCTGAACACAGTCACTGAATTTCAAGCGTTTGGTGGAGATTGCCTCGACATACTTGAGGAGAATTAGGTTTTTTGTCTGTTAATAATTTTAAAGGATTCTGTGATGTCCGCCTCTTAAGCTGTATCAACGAGATTCCTTCAGGAGTTTAAACTTGTAGTCTATATCAACTGGTATCATTTGAAAATTGCAAGTCTGTTGCAAGTGTTTCTGTACTTACACTTAACTATATCTTTAGACTGTAAGCAACTGATGAAAAGCCAACTAAATAAATGGTGGCACCGTTTTATTCTACACAAAACTGTCGTTCTTGTCTTATTCAAATTCACAAAGGGGAATAAATGTATGAAATATACGGACCTTTGACACTAATATCAAATTAGTCCTTCCACATAGTTCAGAGACTTGGCACATTTCCAGCAGGTTGTAGAATTTCATCAACCACAGCCTTTTGTTTTCACTGAAGGTTAGATAACTTACCAGAAAGGAAAAGTAATAAGGAACACCGACTGCCAGCAAACCACCCAAAAACTTACGACTCAACAAATATGCCGAAAGAAATGGTGACTGGCTTTACATACGCTGAGGAGACCGTTGATTGACATCGCACGACACGGGCACTCAAGTGAAACCTGAATAAGAAATGACTAGTTGGGCTACCGCCCGTATTATAAGTACTGTTTTGGAATAAAGTAAAATAAATTATTAATTATTATCATATAATAATGCTAGACATTTTCATAGAATCTGTAGTTATTCTAGATTGAAAGCGTTTTCTCAGCATTGAAAAGACTGCGAAGTTGAACACTATCGATTTTCACTCTTTTGATAAAGATAATAGTCCTCACTTTTAAGAAGTTATTAATACTGACTAGTGATTTTGCGGGCATGAGGCTACCAACCCCATGCTGTAAAAAAAACACTGCTACAGAAACTTCAAGCCTCCAGCTTGAAGCCCTATGTTCCACTGGGAACGTGAAGGAAATAAAAAAAAAGTGATTTCAACCAATGCTTTGCAGTTGTATGTGATTTATTTTAGAAAACTAACAAAATCTTCTATGATGCCAGATATATTTGTAGGAAAGGGGCTTATGAATTCGAGTGTTTAATTGCAATTCACGTTAGCTTTTCTGAAGGGACTTTGTTGTGTCGGAAGTGCTCTTGATTCACATTGCAAGTAGAAGGAAATGGATAAATTGTAAAACATGAAAACATATAGTTTGAACAGTGTTGATTTGGCTAATCCTTCTGGCTAATTCAGTGATAAACTTTGGCATTCTTTATGAACGAGTCACATTATGACTACCGGTGTAAACTGTCATTCACCATAGACACGTATTGACACAAACTAAGAGATAATGGATTTAGACAATAAAATATATAGAAGAAGTGATGTAACCTTTGTGTTTCACATTCGTGATTTTGAACGCCATTGCTTGCTGAGTTGCAATTCACTCAGAATTTCTTAATAACTTTGACCTACGTTTGAGAAATACTAATTACCATCAGTTTCTTTTAGGTCGTAGATGCGCCTTGTTGATGACTGTTGATAGACGTGATACCTAGGTTGAGGCCTTTCCGTTGATCATTTTTATCAGCTCATTAGTGTACTGCAATAGTGTGCGTTGGTGGCACAGTGGTTAGGACTCTCACCGACCATGCACATGGTCCGAGGTTCGAGCCCTCGCCGACGCACACCTATGGTCGGCCTGCGAAATTTGGGCTATCGATATTCATGCTGAAAATTCCATACTTGTACCAAAAATACAGTGTGGAATCAAGCTGTAATCAAAAATAAAATAAATAATAATAAATCAAAGTGATAGTTTTTCTGAGAGAATTGAGTCAGCAATGAAGAACAGAATCACGACATAAGTGAGTTTCTAGTGTCCAGTCAGCACTTTCCTTCGATGAATACTAGTCCTGTATTACACTGTCATTCTCATATATAATTTAATAGCGTGAAATATTTCCATATCATGAATTAAAAGTCAATCTGAACAAAGGATATTCTTTTCAGTAATTTTTCTTCAGGTTCTTACAATTATAAAATATAATAATTGTTGTCGTCACAAGAATGGCCGGTTATGTGGCGAACGCATTTTTTTTCATGTGTGACAAACGTGCTAGGCTGATATCGATTACAAAATATTATGAAATTGGGGACAATTATGGTGATTCATCATAATAGATTCGTAGAATGTGGGGTAGGAAAAATCGATAAGTCCGTTCAAGGTTATAAAAAGTGTCAGGTGATTGGCTAGTACAAAGTAGTATGCATTAAAGAGGAGAAAGTAAGACTTCAGTGAGAGGTTCATCATGAAATAACCAATATATGAAAGGGAACAGGTGGAGGTATATATTCAGAAAAAAGATATCACTAATGGTAAGTCCGGATAGTATAAATGGAGAATTCAATAGTATTGAAAGAATGTTTGATTGAAGGGTATGTAAATTATAACGAATAATATCTGGCCATTATTCTAACGATAACAAATATTATATTTTATAATTGTGTAAGAGCCTAAAGAGGAATTACTGAAAAGTATATTCTTCGTTCAGATTCTCATATCTAATCAGGATTCTGCATTTGTCTTAGTTTTAACACGAATTTGTGATGATAAAACACAAAATGTAGATAAGAGTCTACTTCTAAGATCACTTTAAAAAAAGTGTTTTATGTCTCAATCTATTTTCTTTTCTTTTTTCTTACAGGTAGCTGTATTCCTTGGGCCTGTGACTGGTATTCCAATTCTTTTATTCTCTGGATTTTTTCTTAGTTTATATTCTATACCAAAGTATTTACAATGGCTATCGTATATATCATTTACTAGATATTCTTTTTCTGGAGCACTCAAGGTATTTTGTTCCATTTTGTTTCTCAGTTATTTTGTTTTATATTATACATCATACAGGATATTGTTCTATGGAATTTAGAATCATAAGTAACTAAGCAATGCGTGATATGAATCTTTTCCATGATTATTTTGAGTTCAGTGATTAGAATTCCGGGCTGATGTATACGGTAAAAGACTTGACATGGAAGGACAATGCTTTTGGATGATTCTGTGATGAGGGAGTCTCGGTCGTCAATCAAACAGTAATCTCAGAGAATTCTAGTCGAAAATACTCTTTTCAATAGTTGGTTTGTAAAGATTAGATTTGTTTCTTATTACGAGTTGATTACGGATTAATATCATTTAAAGAACCATTAAAAACCAGGGAATACTGGACAGCTGTTTCATTCTCACAAACCAACTATTGAAAATTAATCTGATGCTCACTAGTGACTTGCTACAGAATAGATTTTCCTGGAGTTCCAGTAAGAAGTTGTGACCAGTGAGGTTCATCCAGTCAATCATGAAGATGGCTGTCCCACCGATGACATTGGTTGGTGTTCGCTTTAATTTACGAGTTGGTAGAAGTTAGAATTCACAGAGTGGCCATTCAATTTGGTCCCAGTGGCTGAATGGTATACGATCTTGCCTTGTAACTGGAAGGTCCTGGGTTCGAACCTCGTAGTGTGGGTGCGTACTGCCGATGATTCTTAAACTAGGATGAAACAGCTGTCCAGTACTCCCTGCTTTTCAATGGTCCTCTAACTGATATCCAGCCGTGATGAACTTGTAAAAACATCACACTTATTTCAGAAAAAACAGATTTCAGCATCGCTGACCAGGTGACGTTTCACAGGTTAATCACCTTGGTGAAAACTATCAGATGTCTTGATAATCTTGAGTCGATGACTTAAAGGATAGACTAATTTCTTCATAGAGCCATTTGATAGCTTCAGCAGTCAATACTTCTAATCTTATCACTAAATTTATGATTATATTCATTAAATATTTTTGTTAATGTTCATATTATCTTAAAATGTATCGATAACTTTCTGAGGAATTTCTTGATCTCAATATTTTATCTGTAGGTAAATGTATCATTTTGGTATTATGAGATAATATGCTGGAAACTACAATTTAAGAAATCTTATTCTTTTATGAAATAGGAAAGCTTGTAAAATTTAGTGGAAAATAACATTATCTCAACAAGCCAGCACTTAAAAATTGATTAAATGCTCATTAGTACATAAACAGAGAAGTAACGTTAACTGGGGGATTAAGTGCGAATTCATGAACAATCGGTTCCACCAAGTCTGGCGTGAGGACAAATGCTCACCAATAACACTGACTGGCTGCATATATATATATATACATATGTTCATACTGTGTCGCAAAACGGCAGAAGTTAGAATAAAAATACGATATTTAGCGAAGAGACTCTTTTCAACGAATTTATTATCAAGCTGTACAATCGTATGTATATGTTTTTAAAAAAAAATTATATCCGGTGAGGGAATTAGATCAAATGTGTGAATACATCAAAAATAATAATAGTAGTAGTATGAAATGCAATTAAAATATTCGTGATTATAATCATAATTTAATGTCAAGTGGCAAAATAATTAATGTCATGTAGAGAATAATACGTAAGGTGTATAGATGCTGGAAAGGGGTGCATAATTAAAGGATTAGTAGGTGAATATAAAATGTTACATAAAATGGTGTGGAATTTGATAAAGCAGAATTTACTGTTGTAAAAAAATAATTTTGGATTTAGAATGACAAGTGGGGCAGTTGGAAACAATTTAGAGTGAAAATAATAATAGTAGTGAGGGCAAGGTACATAGATTAACTAAATAAACAAAATAAATAACTAAATGTCTATCCCTCTACGGCCAAGGCAGAAGTAGGGATTGTACATACTTCTCTATATACAAAGGTCTTGCTTAAATTTATGAATGGCTAAGGCCTCCGCTGTCTTTAGAAGTCTGTAACGAAAACGCGGCAAGTTATCATGGATTTGGTAGATGATCGTAAAATCATTGTCAGGGTCGGTAGAGTGACAGGAGTCGATCAAGTATTCTAGAATAGGGCTGCTCACACACTTCCTTTCTCCCTTGTAAAACCATGCTGGAATACGTTCTCGTATCTGTGTGGAGATCGTTCTGTGGCTAAGATCAATATACCCTGCTCCACAACAACAGGTGAACTGATAGATGCACATGGAGGTGGCCAGACTGGGAAGCTTATCTTTTACAGAGATGAAGAAAACCTTCAGGCTGGTGAACGTCACACATCTGGTCTAATTCCCTCACTCTACAATTTCTTAAAAACCATACATATACAATTGCACAGCTTGATAATAAATTCATTGAAAAGGGTCTCTTCGCTGAATATTGTATTCTTAATGCTACAATAAGAATTACTAAATTATTGAAGTTAGAATATAATGGTCGTTGGATTCTGTCCTAATCCTTTGGTTCTATTCCTGATGAGGTCATAAATGCTTACTGCTGAACATTCGCAAACTACGAAGAAGTAACAGCTTAGTGCTCCACACTCCTCATTGTTTCCCTAACTGATGACCTTGTGTGAAGTAATACGCTTATTCATGAAATAAATGAATAGATGAATAAATGAATAGAATTCGTAACTCAAAAATAAGCAGTGATAAACACCAGTACACTGGTGGTTAATTTGGACCTGAAGTCAATGATCAATTGAATATTTAGACTGGTATGTCACTTGCTATGCTTTGTTTTGAATGACTCTGAAAGACTGAACTTCTTTCAATAAGATACCCTGTAAAAGTTCATAAAGAAATGGTTTGTCGTTACTTCTAAATACACCAAACGTTTTCTCATTTCAGTTTTGAATAATTAATTATCAGCTCCACAGCCTCCTTGTTGTTTTTAGCACATACACAGAATTGTTATTTTTTTCATTTTCTATCGTTTTATTTTAGATTATCTACGGCAACAATCGTACAGATCTTGATTGTCTTCGTAAACGTGCTAATAAAATCAGTTATCCTTGTCTTGCTAAACCGACAATGGTATTTCAAGCATTAAATATTCCAGAGTATAATGTTTCTGTAGATTTTTGTGTACTGTGTATATTCTTCCTATTTTTAAGAATACTTGGCTATTATATATTGAGATGGCGTGTTCGTGGTCAACGTTAATATCAAAAAGATGCGGAGCTTTTCCTCATTTGTTTTTTTTCAATTTGTACCGCTACAATTTGCTCATTTTTTCCATTGACAACTGAAGTGTGTGTTTTTGTTTCTTCCAGACCAGAAGAGGAAAGAACTTGTTTTGCGTCTTCAATTCGTCTTCAATTATTATTCCGAATTTCATCTTCTATTCTAAGGTTGCGCTTATCTTCAGATAAAATCGGTTTTGTTTCTTGATCGCTCTCTCTCTCTCACTAATCACTGTTTAAATTTATAATTTTTGACAATCTCTTCTCGAAAGATTAGATGTTATCGATACTTGGGTATTTATGCATTTCTTTACCATGAAAATATGTGACTTCATTATTTACTGACAGAAGATTCTTTCCAGCTGGGTTCTACTTATTTTTCGTTTCGAGTCCTACCTTGTATTGAACGTTTTTCCTTTCTGGTTATATCCATCATGTTGGAAAAATAAAAACAACAAAATCTTATCAGAATAGAATATATATATAAATATATATATGTGCATACATTTCTCTATTTTATATATTTCCACTTCAGTGGTTTCCTTGTCGATTCCATTTTTTCGTTTTATGCTGCATATAAGTGTCGCATATATATATATATATATATATTATTAGTGAAATCCTTCCCTTTCTAGCGAAAGAGCTGAGCCTCTCAGCTTTCTTCTTTTTCTTTTTATACACTTCGTCTTCTATATCTGAATATACGGAGGTTGGAGTTAATCTTACTCGTTTACACAAATGTATATACTCGTTGTGTAATTAATTAAATCTTTAATGGATCTGTGACAGTATTAGCGAAAAAAAACAAACAGAAACAAATCAAAGACATCTTCAGATGTCTGTCTATTCTTCATATTTATTATGTGCTGTTCTCTCTCTCTCTCTCTCCCTCTGTCTCTCTCTGGAAAATGGCATTGTCTCCAGTCTTTATTTCGCCGTCTTTCGTGTCAAACTTTTTTTATCGACAATCTTGTGTTTCATATATATTTTTTTGTCCTTACATCATTGATATGCATAAATGATTTTTAAGTGATCAACTAACAACTAATATGTGCTGCAAAGTAAATGGGCTTTCTTTTGCAATTCTTTTTTTTTGCCTAATAGTCTTTTCTTTCACGTTGTTATTTATTTACGCGTTAGCTAGCGTGAAATATTAGATTTGTTACTGTCGTTTTTTTTGTCTGTTAAGAAAAGGTGAACATTACTTATTGTCTGTATTTCCAGTGGAATATAAGGCTTTGAAATCTTCGTAGTGATGGTGTTGTTTCTATGTGGTAATCTCACGTTTGATTTTCTGCGTTTTTTTTTGAGCTTACTACAAGGGAGAGAATTAGGCCAGGTTTAAGAATGCTTTGGCCAAGAACTCAAGTTGGATACCACTCATGACTTAATGAAATTTTATTCTTGAATCATGAGAATGACTTTTATTAACTTTTTTCAAAAATGTCCATTAAAATTTTCAAAACAATGGATACTGAACAAAGAACACTCTTTCCGATAACGTGTTCTTCATCAGGCTCTACAGTTATATATACATTATAGTGAATGAATGAATGAATGGATCTGTGTTATGAACAACATTAATGTTGTTTAAATAACATCGAATCAACAATACTGATAGATTTCAGCTAAATACCATCAACATAAAATAAGCTGAATGTCAGAAAAATTAGGAAAGATAATATTACAAATTCTTTATATATGACTGCAATTCAGGGGTGATATACAAAGTGAAATAATTACTAAGAAATTCATAAAATCAGCTTAAAGGTGTAGTGAAAACCATTAACAGTTCGACAATGGCCCATCTGGTGCAAACCGGCCACAAAGCCAGCCAGCGTAGAAGAATCCTTCTCTATCATCATCTACTGGGTGCCTAATAAATTGCCAAAAATATTGAAGCACGGTATACTCCAAAATAGCAGAGGCTATTACAATTCGCGTGAAACAATCAGTGCCCTGTGTTCAAAAGAAGCAAGTTCAGCCACTACAACTGACCTGGCCAGCCTTCAGTAGAGACTATAAAATCATGAATTTGTAATATTATCTTTCCTAATTTTTCTGACATTCAGCTTATTTTATGTTAATGCTATTGAGCTGTAATCTATCAATATTATTGATTCGATATGATTTAAACGACATTAATGTTGTTCATAACACAGATCCATTCATTCATTCATTCACTATAATGTATATATAACTGTAGAGCCTGATGAAGAACAGGTTAGCGGAAAGCGTGTTCTTTGTTCAGTATCCATTGTTTTGAAAATTTCAATGGGCATTTTTAATCAGTTAAAATAAAGAAAGTAAAAAAAGCTTCCGAATAAAATGAAAGTGATTTTGAGAAATGTTCATTTATTCAGGGAATTTAACTTTATTTCTTTTGAAGGAATCGGTAGGTCATCAGCATACATTGCACAAAAGCAATATCAGCTCTTCGATTTGTGTGTGAAATGCGTGAATTTAAGTCATCAGTCAGCTTAGCTTAGAAATAGATGATTTCCTATATAATCAACTGGATTTGATTTATTTGCAAATATTACAAATGTCCATTGTGATAATCACAGAGGAATTAGCTTGACTAATATAGTATCTAAAGTCTTAGGCTCAATAATCATGCGTAGACTGAGTGGTGCTCAGGAGGCAAACACGAGAGAGCCAGGCAGGCTTTAGACCAGGAAGAGGGTGTATTGATCATATCTTCACCCTCCGACAGATTCTAGAACACAGGCATTCCTACCGGCGTCCAACAGTCATTATATTTCTTGACCTAAAGGCAGCATTCGACTCTGTCGATCGAGAAGTTCTCTGGAGATGCTTGGCTGTAAAGGGAATTCCGAGAAAATATATTGCACTGATTAAGGAACTCTACTCGTACTCATACAGGTAGCCAGGAGAGGGCTTACAGCGAGTTGTCATCTGAACTGGTGACGACCAGTGGTGTCCGTCAAGGATGCCTATTATCCCCTTTTCTATTCAACTTCATCATAAATGTACTAATGGACTTAACCCTAAGTGACGTCAGCGACTCAGGGATTGACTTGCTACCGGGGAATAATCTCGTTGACTTGGAATATGCAGATGATATAGTCCCTCTAGGCGAGGACGCTGACAAAATGTAGAGTCTTCTAAACACCTTCAGCTGCAATCTACGACTGTTTGGCATGCTATTCACTCCCGCCAAATGCAAGATGATGTTACAGGACTGGACTACAGCGACTCCTAGATTAGAAATAGGAAGTGAAATGGTAGAGCACATTCACCGCTTCACTTTATTTCGAAAGTACCATCAACCCCAACGGGTTGATATCTGACGAAATCTCAGCACGAATACAGAGGGCTAGTTTCGCATATGCCAGTTTACGCCGTCTCTGGCGCTGACGAGATATTCGACTGTTGACTTCCTGGTTGGGGTCCTCGGGACGGTAAAAACCAATGGTTGAAAATAATTGGTAATATGGCTCAGAATCGTTCTCAATTGCCAGCGCAGATGCATCCACTCCTTGTGATTTATGATTTCCAATGAAAGTGTTTTGTTCTTCGTTACTACTATTCCTTTGTCTCACACCTCTGTTTACTGTCTCTATTGTGCATTTCTTCTACTTTCTTCTCTTGCTTTGTGTGCTACATAGAGTGTGGCGGCATGAACTTCCGCACATTTGTGCAAATTTCTATGTCGAAAACAGACAGACATACATGATTTTGGCACGACTATCATTGAGACTTCACAATGGAACTCCATACAACTTCATCCTGTAGCCAGTCACCAACCAGCGTCAGTCTGTGATCAAACTTTATGCTTTATGTTCTCCTCTAACTAACATCCTAAATTCTTCTTTCTCCGAAAACGTTGCACCTGTTCCATGGAAAGACATTAAATTAGTCCCTGTCCCTAAACCTGGTAATAACAAGAACGTAAAGTTCAGACCCATCGCCATCACTTCCCCGTTTTTAAAGCTTATGGAAAACCTAGTACTTCTTAAACTTGAACCCTCCGTTAAATCTTTGAAGACCCCAAACAATTTACCTACAGACAGGGTAGAAGTACTTTAGACGCTGCAGCCGTCTTACACAACAGTATCGTCTCATCATTAGATAAAGGTGCCAAATACGTCCGCTGCATGTTTCTCAACTTCACTTCTGCTTTCGAATCTGTACCTAGATGTCTCTTTCTAAATAAGCTCTCCATGACACAAACTGAGTCCTGGGTCACTAACTGGTTGCATTCTTACTTTTCAAACAGAATGCAGTATACCGTATACAAAAGCAAATCCTCCTCTGCTGTGCTCACTGAAGCTGGTGTCCCTCAAGGTGCTGTACTTTCCCCACTTCTCTTTTCATTCTTTCTACATGACCTACTATCTTCAAATGACATTAATTTTGTCAAATATGCTGACGACCTGACTGTATCTTTGCCTGTCAAATGTCAAAGTGAATGCTCCAAACTAAATGGCTTCTTATCAGAAATCAGCCAATGGTCCAAGGAAAACGGTCTCACCTTAAACCCCTCCAAATGCCAAACAGTTAATTTCACCTTTAGGCATAAATCTGACCTAAACAAACTGGTTAGCACTCACGAGGTGTGCAACATAGATGGCACTAAAATAGAGGCCAAATCGGAAATTAAATATCTTGGCGTCTTTCTATCTGCTGATCTTTCCTGGTCGTCTCATATCTTGATAATTTCTAAGAAAATATACCGTCTTACTTTCTACATCAAGAAGTTAAGACATTCTGGTATAACCCGACCCTTACTCCTACAATTTGTTAACTCTCGCATTCTGCCTATTATTCTCTATTGTTCACCCTTATTTTTTACTGGGCTACTGAAGAAAGACTATGCCTTATTACGTAGGGTGTTGAAGGTTGTCAGCGGGGTAAGCAACGTGCCACTTAACCAGTTTGTTAATATTTTGGTTGACAGGCACATGGACTCATGTGAAAAGTGGGCAAAATCCATTTTATCTAACTCAAACAACC